CGGGGCGAGGCGAGGACGAGCGCAGTGGCGGTGCACTTAGAGTCCGCGATGGTGGAGAGACGCTGATGGGCGCGCACTCGGGCATTGGGCCGCACCGTTCACCTGACCGACGACTCCATCGTCAAAAGGAATTAGACGTCGATGGGCGCAATGATCTCTTCTTAGGTCTTTCTGCGATGCATCGAGCTGGGCAGGGCCGCAGCGCATCTTCTGGTTGCTGCGGTCGAGCAGGTCATCTAGTACACTTAAGTGTGCTAGGGCCAGTACCCAAGCCGACCCAAGCCCTGGCGCCGCTAAATGCGCAGCTCGCGTTGCTCTCTCGGGTCAGTAGTGAGTGGTAGGCAGCCCACCAAAACATGGGTGATGAAGTGGTGGCCTAACGGCGCGGTGGACCGAGTGGGTGGGGCTGTGCGGCAGCAGGCCCAGCAGGCCCCCAGAGGGGCGGGGTGAGGGAGGAGGGGGGAGGGGCTATCTTCACACGGAGAGAGTCATGCTTGCGCTTCTCTGGCCTTTGTAGCTTCGATATAGCGACGTAATGCTGCTAAAATTCCTCCGAAATACGTCAGAAATACGTCAGAAATACCACGAAATACCTGAAATACCGTCGAAATACCAGTGAAATACGCGAAATACCAGTGAAATACGCGAAATACCCGAAATACGCGTATTTCGAAATACTGTGTACACGGAAATCCCGAGTAAATACCTCCTCGGTCACAATAGAATATCAGGATTTTCTTTATCTTCGGCTATGGCTATGTCTCAAACCCAGATTGCGATATCTACTGTGAGGTTTAAGCGAGCGCGGGCGTGGGTGGACTTGGAGTGTGAAGTTCGACTGGAAGCATGGTGTCCAGGTGATATAGGAGGGAAGTCCACGGTGATGAGCGGCCAGGACGGTGACGGCGAGGTGGTCCGAGGCGAGCGTCCTGGTCGGCCGGTGGCGAGTGAGTGAATGACTTGTTGCGAGTGAGTGAGTTTGCGTGACGAGGTGGGTGCGCGGGTGAGTAGTATTGGCGTAGTGTGTGATGGAAATGAACTGTGTGTGAGCTCGCCTGAGGTCGCCACAGTTAGTGTCTCGATCCACTACTAGTAGTTTTGCAGTTTAAACTGTGAAACTAAAAACTTCTGCAGTTTAAGCTGCAAAACTGTGTAGTTCAACAGTTTAAACTATACAACTGCATAGGTCTAGTTTTACAGTTCAAACTGTTAAACTACACTGTTTTGCAGTTTAAACTGTAGAACTTATAGTTTTGCAGTTTGAACTCTCAAGTTGTTATACAGTTAGATTTGCAGAGCGAACTTAAATCCGGGTGGACACGTCCAAAGTTTCGTTTTTACATGCAGAATCCTAATACCTGCCTCGAACCTGTATAAAAGAGAAAGGCAGGCGCAGGAGGGTTTAAGTCCATTACCGTATTTCTTATGCGCATTTATGGCCAAAACAGAAAATTGACCCTAGACCGACCAAAAACATTCGCATCGAAAAAATATGTTCATTTCTATGATCTACGCTAAAAACTTAATCAGGGCATGTGCCGCATGTTTTAACTGTGCCCAAGCACAAAGTTGAGATGAAGTTGAGATACGTATTTCAAAATTGTTTTATAAAACTTAAAAAACAAAAAAAAAACAGTTTTAACTGTTTTTTGAAAAACATACCTCTACTTCAGAAGTGAAAACATGCGTCACTTGAACTGACTCAGTTCTTAACGTACATCACGGAAATTACCTTTATTTTTTAAATCCGCGGTGAATTATTCTGGCGGTGGGGAACCAGGGCTAATTTTCTGGCTATCAATGCTCATAAGCAACCTTCGGTGAACTTGGACCCTCCTGCGCGACCAATACGTTTTTTCACTCTGTCAGCCACACAGAAAAAAATGACTTTGTTGTGAGGATCAGTTATGTTTGGTAAGCTAAATTCGATAGCTGGAATCGAGAATCCGATACCCGCAACCACGATCGAACACTTGTGTGAAGATAACAAACTCCAGCTTGGTTCTCTTCGTACAAGTGTCTGGTCGTTACAAACTAGTTATCAAATTTAGCCTACCACACAGAACTGATCCCCACAACAAAGTATTTTTTCCGTACACGCAAACACTGATGAAAACTGAAATGTGCAACTGGCATGCACATGGTAGTGTTCAACTCTATATAGTTGGTGGACACTTTCTAGTGTTGGACTAGAAATTTGAATAACACTGCTATTTTTGCAAGTTTACTGTTAAATACTTCTTATTATTTAAATGTCTACTCAAACACTTAAAAGTGTGCAATATGGTGTTAAGCACTTGCATGTGCACTTCAGTTGCACACTTCATTTATCAGTGTAGCGCCGCTGCGTGTACTCCCTGATATTTGCGATATTGCTGGAATAATATTTTGAGGTTTGGAAGAGGTGGGGTTGGGGGCGCTCCGTTGCTGCTGACGCGGAGGGGGAGGAGAGGTTGGAGAAACAGACGACGTAGAAGAAGACGGTAATGAAGAAGAATAAGATGATGATGAAGAAGAGGAGGTTGCTGAGAGTTGCACAACGTCCGGGCCTTGCGCTTCGATACGGATGTTCATGGTGACGGCGCCGTCCCGTTGGTAACTCTCGACTCAGCTCCGCGCCTGGCCTCCCGTCCTTTGTCCGTGTGTGGCCTGGTCCGCACTGCCTCAGGGCGGCACGAGGAAGTACCCAAACGGGGAATGGCGCTCGCGCCCCTCTGCCCGCCCGCAGCAGGGACCGATAGGCTCGACGAGACGGGCAAGTCGCAGAAGGATCTGTAGTGAGCGACGCCCGCCGCTGACAAACATCTCAACCCTTCTTCACCACCAAGTTGGTTTGGACCGTCTTTCTATAACAGAGGTCGGCATCCGCTCCCGAACGGGTCCCACTCTGAGCGCGCGCCGTGCGTAGTAGGTGTGCGAGAGAGACAGAGCGATAAACCCGAGGTAGCGATGGCGATGTGCCGAACCTCGCCGACTGCAGCCGAGCGAACGGGACCCGTTTGAGTGGCCGAGCCCCGCCTGCCGGTCACCTGAGGGCGTGGCGTGGCGTTGCGCGTAGGCAAAGTCGGTCCAGCGCCACGCCACGCCACGCCTGGTCAGCAGACGGGACCCGTTGACACGATCGAGTCTCGGCGAGTGGGAGTGAGCGAGCCGGACCGAGAGCGGACGGGACGGGACGGGACGGGACGGGTGACAGAGCGAGCGAGACGGAAACGAGCTGGGTTTGGGAGCCGATGCCGACCTCTGTTCTATAAGTATGTTTGAAGACTATGTCTGTGCTCAAATTTGTAGGAGATTGGCGATGGATTGTTTCCAAAGGTAATGTGTTTGGCAAGGATGGTATTGTTACATGGTACTGCCCTGGGTGGAGGATGAGTGACAACTCGAGTTTGTGAGAAATAACGTTTATTGCTTACTCATCGTAGTGGTAGCTGGTACTGGAGAGCTGGTTACAGAGCTAGTGGAGCCGAGCGACCGTCCAAAGGGAGTGTCCTATGCGAACTGATTCCTACCTGCCGCTTTGGGAGTCCACCTAGCCTGGTCCGGCTGAGGGCCCGGCGGGGCCGCGCTGGCCTATTGGCCTCTGGTTGATTGTCAGTAGCGCGGCCCTTATTGGTGTGTGCTCCCAGCGCGGCTGATTCAAATGAGTCGACTTGCCAATTGTGATTTGCGGTTTCTTGGTATTGGCTACCTTGCACGCGCGAGGTGCGCGGAATGACGGTACCCTGTTAGGAATCTACCTCATAACAACAGAGTTGGTTGGAGTGGAGAGCCGAGCGACCGTCCGAAGGGAGTGTCCTAGGCGAACTGGTTCCTACCTGCCGTTTTGGGAGCGCACCTTTGTGCGTAATTGTGATTTGGCGGTTTCTTGGTATTGGCCGCCTTGCACGCGCGAGGTGTGCGGAATGACGGTACCCTGTTGGGAGTCTACCTCATAACAGTGGTCACTATAGATATTCGTAGGATTTTGTTTTATCTCAGGCCATGTCACAAACCCAAGTCGGGTGTTACGAGATGTTGCGAGGTGGGGATCCCATGTGAATGAGAAAGGTCCGAGGTTGAATATGATCGTATTACTCACGAATTATATGATGGTGGGTTGATGTTATGTTATGCGTAAGGAGGACCGTTTCGCAGTTGTGCGAAAAACTGCGTCGCGGTTTTGTTGCAGGAACTCTGCTCGCACGCCCTCCGACCGCTCGAAGCGCCTGTTTTAGCTTGTGGAAGATTAGATTGAAGGAGTGTTTTCAAAGGTACTGTGATCGGGGATCCTTCTCCTTCTGGAGACTTCTCTGGGAGTCGGGTGATAACTAAGACTTTTGGTATTTCATTGTATACATTTTATTTACTCACATATTGTCAGAGCTCTATGATACATCCTTAGGCTGGGGCGGTGTCACACATACTGACTCATTAACCGCTCCCGCCTTATGTAAGCGTATCCAGTCAGGAGGGTGAGAGGTTGAGCATCGCGACAATGAGGTTGCAATTCATATACATACAAGCACCTCATTAACCGCACCGAGTATGTATCACTTAGTCGTACAGTTCAGTGCCTGCAAGACACGGAAAAGGTACGTACGACTAGGATCACATCACCCCCTTTTTACTTTTAATGAAATGTATACAATATTTTTTATTTTATAGAGGAAACAACCTACACCTTGCACTAATAACTAGGGGTACTGGTAAACCTTCGGCTTGATGCTGCCGCGGCGGGCGCTACCATAGGCAGAGCAACATCCGCGACTGCACGAGGTTGCACTTAGTGGCGTCCGTCACAGGAATCGGGTAGCCATCAGGCCCAACAGTTGGGGGCAAGCAGGAAAAGCAAGTTTCCATGGTCGCCATAAATTCATCGACGCCATAATCTTCGGAATCTCCACTAAAATTTTCGACTGCCGTGAGGCAACTCGCAGAAGCCATCTCTGCCTCTTCTCGCTGCTGTTGCAGCTTATACCGAGCTATTTTAGCTGCTTTTTCCTTAGCTAAACGACGCAGCTCCTGCACTTCCGCCTCCCACGCTTGTTGCGCTGTGTCTATGAACGTGGCAGGGTTTGAGAACTCAGTATTACCAGCGTACCGAAAAAGCGCGCGTAAAGAGATATGCTCGTTGTCATCCCCTTTTGGCGCCTCAGATGCTCGTAAGGCAAGAATTAAGTCAGATTCAATATTTTGTACTACCGAGAATTGTTGGAGACCCGAAGTTGCGGCGTTTCGCT